ACAGCGTGCAGCTGATTTTGTAATACTAACTTTTTATTATTAAGAATGAATGAAATAATAATTGTTCATCTGAAAAAAATATATATGATATTTACATAGAAGCGTACAATAAAAGCAAGTGCTTGATGCATCCATTCTCGATGACCTCTATTCGCTGTTCGGTTCAGATGAAGATTTTCGCGAGCTGCTTCGGCGGCGCTTCTTTGACTTGCCATTCACCAGGCTGCTCCTGCCGCCTTTCTGGTTATTATTCTGCGCTTCCTCTGGACTTCGGGGTCGGTCGCCGATAAAGCCAGAGCATAGAGTCGATTCACACTTGCATTTGGTGCGCTCGTTTCCTCGACAGTCCAGATTGTAATTAAAAGTGAGCTCGGATCCTGCACACAAGAGAAAGTAAAATGAGCACAAGGGATTAATTACCATGCAAACCAAAGCTGAGGCCTTACCAGCAGGAATGTCTTTAAGCGCAAAGAGCCCAACACGAGGAGCTTTGTTGACGGTCCACTTCTGTGTGACACAGTTCGGTTCGCACGAATGGTTCATGAAGCGAGCTAGATTGCCCTTTGGGCCTGCGTCAATAACCAGATCTTTGTCAAGGTTTAGAAAATAAAAGTTGGAAATGTTGTCGGTAGCATTTTTCTTAAGTCTTTGGTCACACTCCTTTTTGTCAATGACTTCGCCAACGTACTCGATGACAAACTGTCCTTCTTTAATATCTTCCATTGCCATTAGACCCCAGCCAGCATTCTTAGTCTTAAAGGGCTTGACCTGGGCGTACTCCATTTTGGTGAAACGCATGTTCTTGCAAACTGCCTTGACTGGGCAGGATTCACTGTTACATTCATAGCAGATAACGCGATTGAGGCAGTCGTCGTCTTCGCACGGCGAATCCGCCTTACATTCACAGACATGATCGCTAGGGTCATTGCCATTTCCATTGACTTTGCAAGTGTATCGATTTGCCTAAAAAGTGTAGTGTTTAAATATAAATTGAAGCTTTGCATAGCTTAAACGTACTTGGATTAGCTGATAGTGAGGTGGCTTGGTGGCAATCGTCGCCAATGAACTGTCCTTTCGCTTCTTAATCCAAGAGTGGTGCGCCTCTTCAGCTTCCTCAAGAGCTGACATTGAGTAGCAAAAAAATTAGAAATGTATATAAAATGTGATAAAAGCAAAAGAGTTGTACCTTTGTTAAACGAACTTTTCAGCTTGTTAGAGCTGCTCTTGCCGCTGTTCTTGGCCGCCTGATGATCGCCAGTCAAGTACAGGTAAACTCGGCCTTTGTTCGTCCAGAAGTAATCGTGAGTGCCGAAAAAGTAAACGGGAAAATCGCCAGAGTTGTGGTTCAAGTTCATAACATTCTGTGGAACAATGTCCGGGTGGCAAATACGACCAGGCCACCAACGATAACTGCCCAGTTTGACCCAGACAATGTCTCCATAGTACAGCTGCTTGTGCTGAAGACAGGCGCTGCAGTAGAAACTCTTATTTTCATCAAACGTGTACTCTAGACACTCCACGTGGAAGGCAGAAGGGCAAGATTCACAACAAACCAGATTACCGCCTAAAAGTATAAGTACAAGTATTAGAATAGTTTAGCCTTCTTCCATAGTATGGCATAACTAACCTGAAAGGCACGAAAAGCAGTAATTGACGTTGATGTGCTTATCACGAGACTTGGAAGAACCTTGAACGTCATTGTGTTTCGGACAGATGATAAAGTTCCTCGAAACTCTAATAGTTCCGGCAGAGATGCAGAATATTTCCTGATGAAACGCCGTGGGGCACCAAATGCAACGAAGCAACTTTTTCTTATTAGCTCGATACTCGTTGTCTTCAAGGGTCTGATGGTAGCAAGTAAGGCAAGTGTGAAGTGGACAGGTGAAAGTATGGGCGTTCTCATTCACCCGAATTGGGTAGCTGTGTTCAATGCACTTGAGGTGATAATAACGAGCGCACTTGCTGTCCTCACATTTAAGTGTGTCTAAATCATCGGGACTTTGACAAGCAAAACACTTGTATTTTCCTGCAAAAGTTGNATAATAACGAGCGCACTTGCTGTCCTCACATTTAAGTGTGTCTAAATCATCGGGACTTTGACAAGCAAAACACTTGTATTTTCCTGCAAAAGTTGAAAATGGTAATCAGTTTGAAATAAGGTCAACGACAACAAAACTAACCGTTGGTGCACTCTTCACATTTAAAAGTGCTAACTCCATCCTCCAAATCAGTTGCGTTTTCAGCGCAGCCTCGGTGGAACAGACGCTGGCAAGGGCCCAGGCATGTGAGCAGTCCAACTTCTGGAGTCTCATCGTCAGAGCACTTGTAGCAAAATCGATCGTCAAGTTGTTTGACTTTTATCTTGGCTTCAATTTGATCGCCATCATCACTGGTGGTATCCTCCCCATAGCTTTCCTCGGGAAAGCACAACTTCCTCTTTACCCCGGGAGACTTCATTGGGCTCTTCAAATCTTCCTTGTCATTTGCGTCGGCCTCATGTGAATTTGTTTTTGGAGTGACAGACTTTGAAGCAGCTTTTCCAGATGATTTAGATGTAACCAACTTTTTTGAAGTCGTCGGAGTCGAGGCAATGTTGGACGCAGATCTGTTGCGCTTCCTACTACTGCCACCCTGGTCGCCAGAATCGATGCCGTTAGTGCCGGCAGCATTTTTGATTTTGTCAAAGAGCTTCTCTGACTTCAGTGAAGTGGAACGTTTAGTTTTAGCATTGCCTTTTGAAGTTGAAGCGCGTGAAATGATGAGATTAGATGAAACGTCGTCTCCAGGACTCTCCTTGCCTTCATCACTGCCATCATAGTCGTAGTCAGAATCATTAGAGTAGTCATCATCAAAGTTTGATCGTTTAGCCACAAACATTGCAGCGTCATCAAGCTGAATGGCCTTTCGCTCAGTGTAAGTTTGTCGATCTTTCTCAGGTAGCTTATCCCACTCTTCCTTGAGGTACTCGTTAATCTCCAACTTACTACGGTCTGGGTTCTTCTTTTGGGCCTCGTCAAAGTGCTTTCGAAGATACACCTGAAAGTCTCCCTGAGCTGGACGGCTGCGAAAGGACAGCGGTCCTGGTATTGCCTCACCATCAGGTCCGTCAGAGTCTTCAGGAAACTCGTATACATCATCACTGGTGGCTTCACGTTTGCTGCCTCTGCCTTTTCCGCTCGAGCTCCGCTTTTTTCCGCTAGTTGAGGCCTTTGGTGTAGCAGAGTTGTTGTTGACAGCAGATGCTTTTGGAGTCGTGGGTACCTTTTTCGGCTTTATATCGCTTCCGGGGCCAGTGTAGTTGAAAGTCAGCGTTTGAACCCGCTCTTGGCGATTAAGCTTCATAGCCTCTTGAGCCTCTGCAACGGACTCATTCCACTTTTTCTTTATGCCCGGCTTGACAGTGCATTTCTCAAGCACTTTCTGAGCAGCTGGCTTGTTTGCAGCATTGTCAATGTCATTGCTGATTTTTTCGCTAAACTTGTCAAACCCTTCAAAAGGCATGACCATGCCAATGCTAGTCCATCCTCGCGAGGGATCAGGACCAAAGTACTGGACATGATAGACACGATCAGCCTTGTAACTGCTTCCTAAATGAGGTACAGAAATAGGGTGTGAATACAAAGTAAACACCACGTGTCATGTGACCAACTTTATCATACCGGTTACTTTGAAGTAGGTCCCAGTCACAGGATCGATAGACACGATACAAGGCCACCACGGATAGCCGGTCATCTTGGCCCAAATGAGGTCTCCGACGGCGAAAGACGCTCCCTCATCTTTTGGCGGAATGGTGAGGAGTGTGGAGCGATCCTTGAAGTTGATTGACGCCGGATCTTTGATGGTTTTAGGTCTGAGTTCGACGTCCACCGGGTCATATTTCGGAATCTTCAGCTTGGCCTGAGCAGCAAAAGTGGAAAGGGACTTTTTTGCGCTACCTGAACCCGATTCCGCCATGGCGGACATTGCGAAGGCGGGAAAACAGTAGTACAAGCCGGAGGACTTGTAGCCGCAGCTTCAGAGGCAACGGCCGCGAATCAGCAGCACAAAAATGAGCAAATGAGCCTCTGCGAGATGACGTTACGGCTGCCGCCAGGGAATAAGTGTCTACTTCGGCAGTGCTTTAGTGCTTTTCACTTGTCTCTCACTCTCCTTCCCTCTCAAAGACCGGCCATTTTCAGTAGCAAGTTCTTTTGATAGTTAGGATGAATTGAATGCCGAGGAAAGGATACTTCGGGTGAACATTCTAGAGTAATAGAATTCTCGTTAGCTGTTTTTGGGCCGTATGTTTCAGACTAGATTTTTGCTGCTGATAATAGTGCACATAAAAAGAAAAGAAATCACTCGAGAACTTTACCATTGGTGGTGTTTGCTATGGCTTGAAAGAGGCGTCTGATTTCTGCAACTCTTGACCGTTGTCCAAGGTGTTGATAAGAAGTGTCCAAGTGTGTTTATCAGTCAGCTGGCTTAGCTTTGTATTCTGTTGACAAGTACATCGTGAAGACTGCCACTGCTGCTACAGTTGCTGCGGTTGCTGCTACTGCTGATGACTAAATCCCGCCTCCAAGTGATCATACCTCGGCAATTTCTTCAGCTCAGAAGTCTTCTCCACGCTCCCTCTCCTCCTCTCTCCGCTCCGATCACAATGGCTCCCAAACAGGGCGCCACCGGCCCCAAACCGGGCGATGGAATTCGCTCAATGGACACGACAAGCCTATTCCGAATAACCAACTTCGAGCTCTATGTTAAACCAGTGCGTATACTCTCCCCATTCAATGGCCTTCTTTCATAACACTTTTGCTTCAACACAACAGAACAAATTTATAATGGCTTTTGGTCTTGTAGCAGCGACCGCTTGCTTTGGATATCTCTACTACTGGAATCACAGTCAGCGAACTAACCCAAACTCACCAACATATGTAGCCGTCAATGAAGACGACACACTTACAATAAGGAAGCGCAGTTCCCGGTGGAATTAGGGTTTTGTTATAACATATAAATTAGTCATTAAAGAATAAAATGTGATATCAAAGAATTCAAATCACATGGCACTAGTATGGCTTCTTAACTCTTTCGGGCAGAATGCTTTCTTTGGCAAAGTTGAAAAATGACAGCAGCCCAGAGCGCTTGCCTTTACGAGAGAAATAATGCGAAATTAAATCACTATCGTCCGAAGAAAGGATATAAGAAGGAAGGACGTTGTCGTTGGCTCCCAGAGAGACGAAAAACGACTGTAAAATAAAGCAGTTTAGTTGAAAAGAACAGTTGATCAATTGCTCCACTTACAAATGGGATTAACCACAAGCAGATGGTGAAAAACGACAACACCTGTAAAAAACAGAGTTTAAAACGATATAATTTAAAGCTATGTAATAAGATTACCTGTGTAAAGTGAGCGTAGACATTTGCAAAGTATGAAAATGTCAAGTAATGATTCACAATGAGAAGCACTGAAAAATAAATGTAAAAATGATGAAAATGTACTGCAACACATTTTTATAACAGCTTACCTATAAATCCAATAAATGATAAGGAAGTGAGCTTGAAAAATGGAAACGATTTCAAGATGAATATGTGATTTAGATGACTTGCAAGGCCAATTATAATCAGGTAGTTTGGAAGATTCTCAAAGAGAAACAAACAAACATAAACTCCTATCACAAACTACACAGAAATGCAAAGTTAAAGTGAAAGAGTTCTTTCAAATTTATTCAAGTTCTTACCCAATTTAAGCATCTTATGACTTTTGCCGACGTAACGGTAAACTCCTCAACCAGTTCTGCCAGGTAGTACAATCCCGCAGCTAAACAAACACAGGATTAGAGATTATATAAAAAGAGCAAAAGCATCACATACCAATGGAGAGAATGAAGAAGCACATTAGAACTAAAAAATAAAGTGTTAGCAAATGAGGAAGTAAAACATTGAGCAAGTCTTTCTACAGCCTACCTAAGAGTCCGAGCCATCCCAGGAGTACAAAAAAGAGCATTTCGTTTATCCTTCAATCAAAGGAAAACAATTTTCTGCGTTAGAGCTGCCAGAACTTTAAAGAATGTCAAAGAACCGAAAAATAATTTGAATTTCACAAATCAAGGAAAGATTGTTTACTATTTGGAAAGTCTATTTACACCTAGAGTACAAAAGTGATAAAAAGTACAACAACACGAGATTCCGAATTTCCGCGGAATCACATTTTAAAATCAAATTACCCTTTCAACATTGCATATAGTTTAAAACAAAAAGTGAATAATGGTCTTGACTATTGTTTGTCGACAGAATCGATTTTTGATGCCTAGCGGTAAAGCTTGTTTTGCTCAATATACTCCACAACTGAATCGTCCACCAAGTATCGAATACTTTCATTTTTTGAAATTGATTCTCTGAAAAAGATAGTAATTGATAAAAACAGATTCGTTTTATAGGAGCTGTTTCTCTTACCTTACTAAAGAAGAGCTTATGCAATTCGCTGCCCGTTCTTCTACAATGAAGATATTGGCCTAGGGAAAGTAGATTTTGTTAGAAGCAGTTTTTTAGTCGATCGTTTTCAGTTACCTCGTATTTGGCGAATATATGAGACTTGGGTGAGTTCTTTAGTGTTTTCCACGGATCGCTTCCCTTGCGAGTGATGACCACCAGACCGTAATTGCTGATAATTTCCTCAATGTCGCTATCTTTCCACAGGTTGGGCACATTGAACGTCTCAAACAAATCGGCACCGCAAAGTAGTTTGAGTGAAACGGTGTCTGATGAGGTGGCAGTGGACGAGTTCTGGTTAATGTTCAAAGTGGAGTGATAGTGTTTCAGCACTTCCAGTGTTCGCGTCCACTTTGTCTGCAGACACTCCCAGTTGTCCAAGTGAACCCAGTGTTGTTGACCATTCAGTGGCTTCAAGGCCCGTTTGACCATCTCACAGCGATGCTTGCTCGGAGCAAGGTACTTTTTCGTTGCATAACAATCATTTACTGGTGATATAATTCCTGCTACAACTACGTATTGATGCTTGTTGACTAGGTAATCCTTGGCAAGTTCTATTTGAATAAGTTGTAACTGGGTCAGAGAGGAAGTGACGTCAACAGTCTGGTGGAACCATACCGAACATTCGCAGGTGCATGTTTGTTGGTGGATTGAAGGACCCACATGCTAGAAGAGCCACTTTGGGTTTGCTGGTGGTCATTGCCTGGCAGGAGAAACAGTTATCGGCGATGGTGATGATGACAATCTCTGGCAAAACATGTGGTCAGGCTGTCTGCAGACAGGCAGTCTGGCAACAGTAGTGCCACTGAAAGTGAACTGTGGCGCGCCAGATGTCACGGCAATCTTCAACTCAGGCTTCGGCCGCCACTTTATTGAAACCGAAACGGCGCGCACCCACGAATCGATTCAGACCACCACCACCTGACAATGAAGACAATAACTCAAGCGACGAATCGATTGGGACGCAAATTAGTACTTGTAAAGCAGGCTCAGCTCAGAATGAGATACCTATGCTTGTTGTTGTCTTGCCAAAGTACCGGCAAAAGCCGACAAGACAATTAACATTCTTAAATTACAAATTATGTGTGTCTGTGTGAAGCAACTGGGGTGAAAAGAAGCGTACTTCGCCGTAGGTGATATGCAAAGTGACAGTGCAGCGTCGTGATCGCTGCCGCCTCACCTTTGGAGACATTTCGAATCGAATTTCACCAGCCTTTCTGGGCGCCCAGGTCGTCGGCGTTGGTGTTGGCTCTGGCACTGCTGCTGGTCGCGTGGCAACTGTGCTTGGCGCAAACAAACTCTGCTAATTGTGAGCCTGCCATTCGGTGGTCCATTCCGTCTGCCTGGTCGCACTAATCGGTCCACCTAGGGAGGAGGCGATCACCATCAACTGTCATCACAATGGTAAAAGTTCAATAACACTGCTGCTCTGCTCCTCAGCTTGACCATTTCCCATTGCCACTGTACTGCAGGGACTACTATCGCTGCTGAAGAAGTTCAAGTCTACTCCAAATCGAGAGCTGCGCATTCTTCTCCTTGGTCTCGATAATGTACGTTTTTTCCATAAAAAAATCTGGTATTTATAACCATACCAAGTTACCCTCTTTCAGGCGGGAAAAACGACGATCCTAAAAAAGTTGGCATCAGAAGATATTACTCACATCACTCCCACACAAGTAAGCGGTACCTTTACTCCTGAAGTCCTAGTTTATTAGCCAAGCTGAGACGCGTCTTTGTTTAGCCAAGAGTTTTTGTCCTTACAGGGTTTCAACATCAAAAGTGTCCAGTCGCCTGGCTTCAAATTGAACGTGTGGGACATTGGAGGACAGCGAAAAATTAGGCCATACTGGCGAAACTATGTGAGTACTCAATTTAAGTTCAAAAATTTTGTATTTACATTAGGGACTTTTTACGAACGCGAGTGGACCTACAAAAATAACTGATAATAGTGAATAATGTGTGAAAACTGAGAGATTAGTTGGGCAAAGGGACTAGGAAAGAAAAAATGGTAATAACAAAAGAAGGACAGAACAAAAAACTATTAGTCATTCGACTCGACTTCGCTTCGGCGACGACGAGGAGGAGGAGGCGTTCTTGCTACTGGACTTGCGAGACGACTCAGGGCTGTTGTTTTCCGAGCTCTTGTGATGACCATCACCGACACTACTTGACTGACCACTTCGCCACTCATCGTCCTCCAAAAATGGGCGCTTAACGCCGACGTGCTGAAAAGCCCTGTAGGCCAGGAACAACCAGTAATTGCCGAGCAGGCTTATCTCATCGGGCTCGAGGCTAATTTCTTCTGGTAGATGGCCAGCTATTTCGTTTGTGAGATTGTCCAAGCCTAAAGTGCGAATGAGTATCGCCTCACGGGCGCTGGTTTCGACTGGTGAAAGGCCTGAAAAAACGGAAAAACAGTAATGTTGTATCCGGCTTGGTTGATTTCTTCAATTTTATCACATTTAGCATGCTGTAAATAGAAAGTTTGTATTACTCTCAGGCGATAAATAGAAACACACTCACCTCTCCGTATTTTCGCTCATGCACGTACGGCCGATTCAGACTTGTCCCCCGACCCAAGTAAAAGGTTGCTTCTCTTGCAAACTGTGAAAACTTGGCTGGGTAAAAGGCAAAATCAT